ATTTAGTTTGATGAAGTTTTCTAGTTGTTACCCCGACTTTGTGATATTCCTTAGTCTATCGATCTAATTTTTACTCCATAGGGTAAAAATGTAAAGCCGGTTTCAATTTATACAAAGATTACTTAAATCGAACGTTATAAGGTCAAATAATAAAATTCTTACAGAGTATTATAAGAAATACGAAAAAATATTAAAAAGGGTTATAACAACGTCAAAAAAATTGCACTATATAAACAAGATAAAGCAGTCTAACAATAAAATAAAAACAATGTGGCATATTGTTCGAGAACGCACAATCAAAATAAACTTAAAGGTAAAATCGAATATTAAATTAAATATCAACAACCAAATTTCTTCTAACCCAAAACAGATCGCCGATAAATTTAATAATTACTTCTCCAATATCGGTGAAACAGTTCATCCACAAGCAAAGGGTCTTCCTGTTCTACATCCATCAGAAAACTCAATATTTATAGGCAGAGTGGGATTTGAAGAAATACTTAAAATATTAAATAGTCTAAAAAATGAACTAAGCCATGGTGTTGATGAGATTCCCCCAACATTGTTCAAACAATGTGCAAGCGCTTTAGTATATCCACTAACATTATTAGTAAAACCAATCTTTTGAAGAAGGCGTATTCCCAGATATACTAAAACTTTCACTAGTAAAACCCATCTACAAAAAAGGTACACAAACGGACCCAGGCAACTATCGACCTATCGCCTTATTGCCCACAGCCTCTAAAATATTTGAAAAAGCATTATACGACCTTATCTATAAATTCTGTGAACAATATAATATATTTAATGAAAGTCAAAACGGTTTCCGCAAAAACAAATCAACAGTTCTAGCAATTTATAATTACATTCAAAAAATACAAAATATAATTAACGATAAAAAATATGCTATAGGAATCCTATTAGATATGTCAAAAGCATACGATACAGTGCAATATAACATATTACTAAATAAATTATATGACATAGGAATCAGAGGCCCGTGCTACAATCTGCTAAAATCATATTTACACAATAGAACGCAAATAGTAGAAATTGAGTACTTTAATGACAAATTGCACAAAATTTAAAAAAAATTAGATCCGATACTAAAACTATTAATGCCTCAATACCTCAAGGCAGTGTGCTGGGGTGTCTTATGTTTTTAATTTACACTAATGACTTTGCAGAGGCTCTCAAGGAAATACTGTGTCATGTTTGCGGATGATATTTCTATTCTTATATCAAGCCAAAGTCCAATGAATGTAACAGAAAAAATTAAAAATATTTTATTTAGAACAACGGACTGGCTAACTAAACATAACCTGCGGATAAACTTATCGAAAACTAAAATAATGTCTTTTCACCCATATCAAAAACCAAAATTAGATATAAAAATAGATAATGGCGACTTCACTATAGATACAGTTAACGAGCACAACCTACTAGGCCTAATAATAGATACCCATATTACTTGGAAACCACACATAGAAAAATTACATAGGAAGTTAAGCAGCTTTATGTACGCGTTACGAGAAGTAAAAAAAAACAACAGATGTAACCACCGCGATAACAACCTACTACGCGTATGCATATGCATGGCTTAGCTACGGCATTGTCCTATGGGGATGCAGTACTGAGGCCCCAAGTTTATTAACTAAACAAAAAAAAACTAATACGGATCATTGCTAATCTACAAAACACAGAAAGCTGTAAGCCTTACTTTAAGAAGTATAACATTTTAAGTCTGCCCTGTATCTATATTTTGGAACTATGCAAATTTGTCAAAAACATCCAAGCTTGTACACAAAACGCGATGACATCATATCTAGGAATCTAAGACAGAGAAACAAACTAGTGCTACCAACTTCAAAACTAAAATCTCATTCATCCAGCCCATTTGCCATGTCTATAAAAGGTTATAATAAATTACCCGAATATATAAAAAACATTAAGAACGAAAAACCATTTGAAAAAAAATTAAAGCAACTACTTATAAACAAATGTTACTATAGTACTTCTGAATTTTTAGAAGATAAAAATATAATATAATATAGATATAAATATAAATGTTAGGTAATAAGGAAATACCATTCTACTAAATAAATTACAATAAAAAATTATAAAAAAAATTAAAATGATTCAAATAATTTAATAAAAATTCAATTATGCTACCTATAATAATATATTAAATGTCAAAATCAATTAATAAATAATAACAATTATAATAGCCGTATTCCATATTCAATGTGTGTATGTTCATATAATATAATGAATGTGAATATTAAATAATTATTTAGCAATAATAATAATAAAACAATATAAATGTTCCTCCTTCATAATATTGCTGTGCCCATGAGGGTCTATAGAGATACCATGACTATGTAACACCTTTTGTAACCTATGGAATGCAATAAAGTTATTGAGTATTGAGTATTGAGATATAATACATCAAAATTCAAGCATGTCACTTGTGTATAAACTTTCGTCTAGGCGTCCTTTTTCGTCTCCTCTGTTCACTTGGTAACGAGTTTAGGACGAGATCGCTTCACGGAATTGATAACATGGAAATCAATAATGAAAAAAACTACAGCATCGTTAGTGTCTTTTAGTAGTGAACGATAAATACTTTTGGTTTTGTCTGATAACATTCGATTTTGAACTGTAAATGACGGAAATACAATAATCATAAAACAAGCTAACTTTAGTTTTAACTGAAAACCAAACCTTACCCAAACTATGACACATACAAATTATTAGAAATGCTTGAAAAAATTAAATTTTTAGATTGTTGAATAACATTTTGAATCACGAGAGAACTCCTTATTCTTCAGCCAACTAAACAAAATCGAAAGCACTGACGTTATTCATAATTTTTATAAATGCGAAGAAAAATGACACCACCTCTAATTAAAAGTCACCAGCATTAAATTTAGGTCCAAAAGTAATAAAAATAATTTAAGCTAAATGGCAGTAATTTTTCACGGTGCTTTAACTCGCTGTTTTCAGTTTGAGTATAACTTTGACGTAAACATTTGCAGTAGTGCTTATATGAATGGGTAATATTGAACTAATTTTATAGCTTTTCGTATTTATTCAAATTTAATACAACATACTTCCTTCCACTTACGTGTTAACATAGAAAATAACATATGGAATCGCAGACCTTGTTTAAGATGAAGTAAAAATCTGTTTTTGTAGAACATTGTATTTACTTATCAATAACTATTAACTAGGCTAACTTGCTTAACAAAAATCAATATTTTAAGCTAGCTGAGAGTTGTTAGCCTAATGTAAGATAATTTATATTATCATTTATCATAAATCTGGCTATTATATATAAAAATAATTTTTCAAATCAGACTGGTAATTCCAGAGAATAGCTTGTTTAAACAAACAAAAAAAATCTTCCGCTTTATTATAATAAGTATAAATATTACGTTAGTAGTACTAATGATTCGGCTCTCCCGGGGAAGCACCAGAATAATAGGATTAAATAGCAACTCAATGCTACAATGTTATGTATGGTTAGTGTAGAGAACCCGAGACCCTTTTTACTAGATACGTGGCATTCTATCTCAAAACTTAGGGGGTGCCAACGCGTTTGGAGTTTAATTCTAATTTAAGGATAAATATAGATGTCTTTGGGCATTCACTTATCATCAGGTAAGCTGTGTGCTCGCTTGTCACCCTTATTCTATGTGAAAATTATTACTATTACTATTATTATTAAATTTCTATGTAATATTATTGTTTATATATATTAATTTTGTCTTAAATGGTATAAAAATACTCCACATTTAACGTGTCAACTTTAATATTAACTAATTTAATTAATACTGCCCATTTTCCTTCAATTAAATGTGAAGGAAAATGGGTAGTATTAAACTTGAATAAATACAAAAAGTTATAATACTAGACTCAATATTACACATTGATGTAAGCACTACTGAAAATTTTCACGTCAAAGTAAAGTAAACCTATGCTTAAAGCATGCAAGCAAAGCAAGTTGAAGCACTTCGAAAATTTACTGCCATTTAGCTTAAATTATTTTTATAATTTCTGGACTGAAATCGAATGCTGGTGGTTTTTAATAAGAGAATGTGTTATTTTACTAGGCTTTTATAAAAGTTATTAATAGCATCAGTGCTTTCTATTTGTTAAGATGGCTGCAGAATAATGTCTAATGCAGAATAACCTCACATGATATTTTTTCTGTTTTTTATTAAAAATTTTAATTACCAAAACTAAATTTTCTCAAATGTTTCCAACGATTTATGTTAGTTTAGTAATTTATGTTAGTATTGCCGTTTTTATTAGTAGTGCTACTACGAGTATATCTCGTATATACATCAATTTCCTACGTGTTACATCAGGTCTTCGCTCAATCTAGCGGGTGGCAACTTTATGTTTACCTGACTGCTATAGCAACTCGAGATTCTTTCGTCCTAATCGGTTGTCAGTTCTTTGAGTTATATGACCATACCAATGCCACTATAGCGTACCGATCTGATATCATCACTACGAATTTTTTTTATAAAAATAAACTGAATAGCAAATTTTGGAACTTGCTTAGTCTTTTTAAGCTGGAAACCTAATATTCTATCCAACTTAGACTAATGCAAAATCGTTACAAACAAACGGTAGAAATTTAAGGCTTCTAATGGTGATAAAACACTTCAATTCAATTATAACAAGCGTCGCGTGATATGAGCCGCGCACATAGAGAATAGATCTGAAAATGGCGTCCGCTCGCATGTGTTCTCGCTCACTTTCTATCGCTGTCTATACTCACACAGTGAAATACGCACTACAAAAAATAGTCAGTCAAGATTCGCTTTCCACGCTACTTGACGCACTCCGAGTTATCGATAAATTCGTTCCGTTATTTTGTTGTTTTCGTTGATATTCATTGTTGCTTTTTTTGTTGCGTTATGTTTGATTGTTATTTATTTTCGTTAAGTTTTTCTTACGAACTTTGACATTTTGTGATTGATCGAACAATGGCTTCACAAAAACGTGGAAAGATTCTTCAAACAATACACGTGCATCACGCACGTGATATTGTTTACAATGTTATAAAATACTTTGACGGAGAGAAGAACTTGGAGTGTTATAATCCGTTAAAGTGTTGCGCCGCACGCGCAGCGATGGCGATTAATTTATCGATGACTACTATATCGAAAATAAAGAAAGAAGGTAATGACATGGTACCTACACATTATTTTACGTGGTCGCTTTATGGGTGTGACCAAGATAGATAGATAAATCAATTTATTTGAAGATGATTAGCCTTACCTCTATCGAGTATGATTTTTTATATAGATTTTCTGGCCTGGAAACGAGTATGGTTTTTATATAAATAGCTTTTGGCCTGGAAACGAGTCCTTTTGGCAGCGAGTATGACTAAGTTCAATGTCGCTCTATAACGATAATAGACAGTAATAGTAATATTTTACTCTTATTTCAGGTAAACTTACAGAACAAACCATCACCAAGCTCCGCACGCTGAGTAAGGGCAGCAAAAGGCAAAAATAATACGCGTGTCCCCATGGATGGATAATGCATCCTACCACAGTATGCAGTTGGATAAAGCGCCAACGACTGCAACCCGCAAAGCGGGCATAAAGATATGAATGCAGGAGCACGGTGTCTCATTTGAAGAAGACTGGACCAAAGCAGAGCTGCTCATAAAGCTAAAAAAGCATCGCCCAGAGAAAAAGTATTTGGTGGACAAACCTCTGCGTGAACATGGCCATGAAGTCCTCAGACTCCCTCCTTACAACTGCGACCTGAATCCGATAGAACATGTTTGGAATTTAATAAAAAAGCGGGTTGCACATAAAAATGTGAAGCAACACGAAAATAAAATTGAGGAGTTCACAAAAGAGGCTAAGGCAAAAGAGACTGGAAGAAACAAGTAAACCACATCAAAAAAGTCGAAGAAGAATACTGGAATCGCGATGTAGGTAGGGAGATTGAAATTGAGGACTTCATTATCAGTGTCGGTATGAACAGCGACAGCGAAGATGAAAGTGACGACTATGAAGACCAGAACTGTGAAAGTGACCAGTCCATGGAGGTTTATGATCAATTGATGGAGGGAATTGAACCAATTATGGGTTCAGATGACCCGGATACTGCTGGACTAAGCGGTTTATAAAACCTTTTCTCCCCTGTGGTTTCAAAGCCATAAAAATAAATTAAATTTACTTCAAATTCTCTGTCTGATTCGTAAATTTTTAAACTAAATTCTTTTTTTGTGTCTTATAGAGAACTAATAATCATTTAACTAGGCAGGTACCACCTGTTTTATTCAAAAACCAGCGTGAAATGATCGCACAAAACACGCGTACGCGTCTGCGGCGTCGGTCTAGTGTGCACACCTATCACACACGTCAGCGACGTCTCAAACGTCTAATGTAGTTACGCCTTTACTTTACTGGCTTGAGGGATAAGGACGTGACTTAATGCATGTATGTGTAGTGGTATTTCTGTAATATGATTCTGATATGTAACAATTAATAAAGACAAATTTTAAAATCCAGTGTCATATGTACCTTTGTTCCTTATTTATTTTGTTAATATTTTTTGACATTATTTCTACTATTATTAATTAATAATATTAAAAAAGAATAATTTATAATAAAAAAATAAAAATCGATGTTTGAGAACTTGTTTTGCCAACCGTAACATGTGTACCCGCCGCCATTTTCAGATCGATTCTCTATCTGCGCGGCCTATAAATTGTGCTGTTCGAAAATTAATCAAAAATTCAAGTTGAAGGCCCTATCGCACCTTCCTTTTGTCAAAAGTAACAGTGGAATTTGATATGAATTGAAATTGTTCGACTCACTGAGGGCAAATTAATCAGTGAAGAAATTTCTAAAAGAACATTTAAAAAAAGGTTCCGTTGAACATTTTAAAAGTAATTTTAACCAAAAATGTATACAAAGTTTTAAAAGATTTAATGGACTATGGCTTTAAGTATATTTTTTAAATAATATGGGTGGCAAACAAGTACACAGACCAACTGATGGAAGTGAATGTTGTGAATCATAGATATTTACATCTATCCTCTATAAAGATTTAAAATTTAATGAGATATTTTTATATGGTACAATATTACTTCCAATTTAATTATTCCATCAAGAATAAAATTATCTGCCATGAATCAAACTGTGATTCATGGCAGAGCTCTAGCTACGATTGTATGTGATAAATTGACCTATTCGAAAAGCTTTTGCAAAGTATCTAATTCAAATCTGAAAACCCTTATCGAACCTTTACAAGAGATTGGATTAATCATATTAAGGAAAAATAATATCTGGAGACATTTTTGATAAAAGCCATTTATCAAAGTAATGTATCAGAAATAGAAATTTATTACATTTTGTTTCTAGGAATTACTTCGGGTTTAAACTTATTGTAATGTTGTATTATATTTACAAATATAAATGAATTGGATTCAATTAAGTCAGCAAGTAAGTATTTGTGTCTATACTAACCAGACATTAAAGCCGAATGGGTCGTCTCGACCGGGGAAGGACCACGGTGTCTCAGAATACCAGCGTAAAATAGCAGCTTAATGCTGCCGTGTTTCATAGACCGTGTCTAGAGAACCGGAGACCCATTTTTATTGAGAACGAGGCATTTTATCTTAGTTTTTTGTCTATAGGTAACAACATCAACATTACATTAGCTGGACTATGGGCTCTTGTGTCACCCTTATTCTATAAAAAAGAAGCAAAACGAGAAAAAAAGAACTAATTTTGCACATTTTTAAACCTAGTTATTCGTATAATATTATTAGTTTAAATTAGCCCCTGGAAATGATGATTATCATGTCACTTCTAATATTATCTGTATAATGATCAATTGTAAATATTTTAAACTATTATTATTTTACAGATTTTTTCTCGCTGTTGGGCCTGCTTGTTGTGAAATAAAATCGAAGAAATCACTGATACCTTTTCCTAGCATAAACACGTATAGATATAAATAAAATATCTGACTGTAATACTTGTAGTAAAACCAATAAATTATTTTTATCTGTGTGTCTTTAGTTGTTGTCTCTTTTCTTCAAAAAAATATTACTCTGTGTAAGTAAGTTTTGTAATGGTGATTGTAATATAGTTAGTGTGCAGTAAAACAAAAGTAAGTTAATAAAATTATAGTTTTTTGCTTCTCATATCTTAATAGGTTATGGGGCCAGGCTCAAACAGATAAAAAAGTTGTGAAGTAGACATATACATAAAATATATATTCACAATGGAGCAACTAAACTTACATAAATTAAATGGCACTAATTTCGTAACTCTTGGATCGTTACTCACACTTGCGTGTGGCTCAAACGATGATGTGTACAGCTGCCCATAGAACCTCACAATCTCACTCAAAATCTAAGGTGTCCCGAAAACGATGCTGCCACACTCAGTCTTCAGCTTTGACAGTTGGCTCTTTCTGGCAGACAGATCCCTGGCAAAGACTTTGGAGCCCTGGTTCCGCTCGATCGCTTCTTTATTAGAGTTGCGTAAGTCTCGCCGCACGCATTTGAAGATCTGTCTGTTCAGTTGCCTGTATGCTGTCAAATCTGTTGACGATTGCAGCCTCATCTCCCTTCTAACAGCCATGAGATTAAGAGTGTGATCGGAGAGTTTTTGTGTTCTTCCAGAACGGGGTTATTGCAGAACTTAGCTCCGACCGCATGGACAGTTTCCACGATCTTGTCATTCATATAGTCCACTGCATTGCAATCTTCTAGGCACTGAAAGCGGTTACGTAACTCGAGATGAAAAGTCTCGGGATTCTGGATTAGAGCACGAGGGGGACGGAGCGTTGACTTCATTAGACGAGACCTCTTCAATTTAACGTTTAGGTTCAATTTGCCTCTAACCATTCGGTGATCACTGCTTGTTTTCACCCTTGCGATCACTGAGACATCACTGAACAGTTGGCGTCTGGTCGTCATAATGAAATCAATCTCATTTTTTGTCGAACCGTCGGGGCTCGACCAGGTCCACTTCCTGTGGGACCGCTTCTGGAAGAAAGAGTTCATCATAAAGAGTCCTTCTTTCTCCATAAAGTCAGCCAGCTGCTGGCCCCTACGGTTCCGTTGCCCTACTCCAAATTTCCCTAACTTTAGCTCATCGCCTTCTGTTGTGCCTTGTTTTGCGTTGAAGTCTCCCATCAACACCGTGTAGTGGGTTTTGGAGGAATGCATGGCTATGAAAATATCCTCATACATTTGCTCCACCTCCTCATCGGGATGTGCCGAGGTGGGTGCGTAAACCTGTTTGACCTCCAGCGAATACCGTTTGGTGATTCTGAGTATCAGGTACGTAACCCTCGTCGACACACTCCCAATCTTTACAACGTTGTTGACGAGAGACTTGTAAACGATAAATCTGACACCTCTTTGGGACAGATGGTCGCCCTTCCGATGATAGAACAAGTTGCCGGACTCGAGGATTACCGTGTCCTCCCCCTCTCTTCGGACCTCAGATAATCCAATTATATGCCAGTGCAACTTGTCTACCTTTCTTCCAGCTCCAGTATCTTCTCGTCAGTCCTTAGGGTGCGTGCGTTATACGTTGCCAGGTCGAGTCATCGTAGGTGGCAACCGAACCTCCACCGGAGATTCTTAGCACCCCCTGCCCCGCCGTTACCCGACAATATTCCGATGATATCCCGGACGTCAGTCTGAGCGAGATTAGAATGGCTCTCCAGCACCTTAAAAACGGCAGGGCCCCAGGCGAGGATGGAATTACAGCGGAGCTTCTGAAAGCGGGTGGAACACCGGTGACTTGAAGTCCTTCAGAAGCTCTTCAATTCCGTCCTCCATGGTGGCACTACTCCGGAGGCGTGGAGCAGAAGTGCGATGGTCTTGTTCTTTAAGAAAGGTGACAATGCTCTCTTGAAGAACTACAGACCGATTTCCCTTCTGAGCCGCATCTACGTGCTGTTTTCGAGAGTCATTACGAATCGTCTCGCACGCAGACTCGACGACTTCCAGCCTCCCGAACAAGCCGGTTTCCGAAAAGGCTTCAGTACCATAGAACACATACATACCCTGTGGCAGATTGTACAGAAGACCGAAGAGTACAATCTGCCATGTTACTTGGCGTATGTGGACTATGAGAAAGCCTTTGATTCCGTCGAAATTTTGCGGTGCTACAGTCCCTTCAGCCGTGCCAAGTTGACTGTCGGTATATATCAAAGTGCTGAAGTGTTTGTACAGTTGGGCTACGATGGCTATCCGAGTACAGAACCAGAGTTCGAAACCTATCCAACTGCAGAGAGGTGTAAGACAGGGTGACGTATATCCCCGAAACTCTTCACCGCTGCGTTGGAAAACGTTTTCAAGCTACTGGACTGGAAAGGATACGGTATTAACATAAATGGCGAGTACATCACTCACCTTCGATTTGCCGACGATATAGTCCTTATGGCAGAATCGCTGCAGGATCTTAGCACTATGCTCAATGACCTCAATGGTGTCTCCCAACGGATAGGTCTTAAGATGAACATGGACAAAACAAAGATTATGTTTAATGTCCATGTCACACTTATGCCGGTAGTGGTTGGGAGCACTATGCTTGAAGTTGTTGACGAGTACGTTTACCTGGGACAAATAGTCCGACTAGGTAAGTTCATTTTCGACCGAGAGGTTAATCGACGGATTCAACTCGGTTGGGCAGCGTTCGGGAAATTACGACACATCTACTCGTCAGGTATACCTCAATCTCTGAAAACTAAAGTGTACAACCAGTGCGTGTTGCCAGTGATGACTTACGGATCAGAGACGTGGTCCTTCACTGCTGGCCGTATGAGGACGCTCAAGGTCGCTCAGCGAGCTATGGAGAGGGCTATGCTCGGAGTTTCTCTGCGTGATAGACTCAGAAAAGAGGATATCCGCAGTAAAACCAGAGTGACCGACATAGCCCAACGGATTAGTAATCTGAAGTGGCAATGGGCCGGCCATATAGCCATAAGAACTGTTAACCGATGGGGAAGAAAGGTTCTTGAGTGGCAGCCTCGTTCCGGTAGGCGTAGTATAGGGCGACCCCCCACTAGATGGAGTGACGACCTGGACGGCCCCACTACATGCAGGAATTCGATGGATGCAGGTGGCTCAGGACTGTGCTTTGTGGCATTACTTGG